CCATCACACAGCAGGAATTAGCTGGACCATCTGGGTCATTTGTACTTGAAGAATGGTGAAGACATGTGGCAAATGAAAGCAGCAAAGAACAGCTGCATGTTCGAAGGCTGGCATGAACACCTATCCTCCGATTTGCTTCCAACCCTCAGCATCCAAAACGCGCGATAGCCATGGGATTAAGTTGCAAAGCAAAACGATGCAAAAAGGAGATCTGCCAGGAGCAGAGAGCTTCGCAAGTGGCAGTTTCTAGTCAACTAGACCCTCTTGTGGATCGCTGAATCGGAACTGAGTGACCCGATTGAGAATACTGGAGCAGCTCAAGCACCGTATCCATCTCCTTCTTTTGTGCAGCGATTGCTGGGTGTCGCGAGGACGTGTTGCCGCAGGAGTGAACAAAGGTTTCAGACTATTGCTGAAAGCTTTGTAAGCTGTAGATAGCTGTGGCAGTTATGCCTCCTGTACATAAACCTCTCTCCAAGCATTGTAGGAGGAAAGAGAGTTGAAGGAACCAATTAGGACACCATGCACATGCTGCAGTATCCCGCGCAATCACAGCGGAATCAACATTATAAAATTGGAACCAAACGTGCTTTTGCACATCAGACATGCATAGAAATGTGCTAAAACTGCTAGCTATGCCGATGATGCAACTACAGAGCATCAAGCGGCAAAGCAGGTGACGGTTCTGTCACAGCCGCCACAGGCTCGGACTCCTCAACCTCATCCCTATGCACGTAAAGGAAGCCATATAGAATGACAAAGAAAGGGATGCTGACCTCAGCCGCGTCAAATCGCGTCTCAATCCGTCTCATAATTCTCATACTTTATTCACTTAGGCATACTTAGGCTTAGTCACCTAGTGGGCGCCATCTCGCATATCTCATCGCATCTCTCGATATTCTCTCAATATTCTCTCCATAAATGCCAACGCTGTTGGGCAATGCTGAGCCCCTGGCAAGGCACAGCATACTAGCGTTGAGGATCACAATGCACATCATGAAATCATCAGGGTTGCTGCAAAGCAAAGTGCGTCTGGTCTCGAAGAGCAGCAACGTCAGGAGCAGAAAGACAAAGCCACAGGCGAGCATGGGTTCCCAACTCCTTCCGATGTGGTACATCTCGGATACTGTCACAACCACAACCTCAAGGTCGAAAAGGTGCGAGCTGGAGTGAGCTTGACTGAGTCTTACGAAAGAATCGTGATGACCCCTATCTGTTGTTACTACACCCAGTGCTTGTCCCTAATGATCCAGCTGAGACGCTGTCCCTACAGTCCACCCTATGGATAGAGCAATCGGGACAATTCGTTCTTGTTTGCACCAAGGCTTTTCACGTGTCAAGACGGCGCTAAGGAGGGAGGCCACTGCGAATGTAATCGTAGTGCTTGCCATCAGCTGGAGGTGCATTTTGGTCATCAGGACCGTCTCAGTGAGACCCCACAATAAGCCGGAAAGAATAGTCATTGCCTCACTTCGTGTAGAGCGTTTTGAAAAGCCAAGCAAAATCACAGAACATAGCTTGCAAAAGCAAGGTTTGATATGATATAGTATGATTTTCTTTCTAGAATTGTCTAGCTAGGGTCCAGACCAGCATCAAGCAATAATTTGTAGGAAAGGAGTTTCTGACAATCCAAAGCTGCATCAAACAAAGCATATCGATCAAGCTCAAGCTATAGTAAGCGACCTGTCCGGAACATGCTCAGAGCAAGGCTTCCGTTTGCTGATTCACTGCATGCGTGCCAATATTCGTTGGATACAGACAATCAAAGCCGGTGGTGAATCGTCAACACCATGGACCATGCCAGGATGTGTTTGATTGTGAGTGTGCATTCATAATCATTCATACATCTCTATCACACCTCTATCACATCCATGATCCTCACAATAATGTGTATTATATATATATATATCATATATCTATATCAACTTCTCATGTTCCGCAGCTGCAAAGCTGAGCCTCGAGGCCTGTGCTTTTCTTGAGCCAATTGCGACCCTTGGCTTCCTGGAGCAAATAGATGCTACAAATAGATGCTGTTTATAGAAGCGCAAGAGAGGCATTGTCCACATTGTTCTGTTACAATCACTATTTTTCGGGCCTCGATCAGAATGAATACATGCATCACCAGCATAATTCCAAAGCATATACCTTGCCTTGCAGAGACTCCACTTCAATATACTTCAAATCTTTCCGGAGTGGGCACAAACAAAGCAGACTCAGAAATACTAAGAATTTGATACAATATATAATATATGCGTATATATGCAGTCAAGGACACTGAACCGAAACTAGTGCAAAGGTCTTCACCTTTGCGAGCAAAGCTGTTCCTTTCTGAGAGCGTGCAACTGTGCTGTGTGTCTAGACTTCTTCCTCGACAGCCCTTTGGTTATTCTATCCTGCGCCAGCTGCTTTCCTATCCTGATGACAGTTCTGATCTTGACTTACAAATACTTGCAAAATCTTCCCATCTTCAAATCGACATGTTAAAGCTCTGTCTGAGATCAAATTCTCTGAGGAGCATGCTCGAAAGGCTCTCTCGACATAGACTGGAACGGTTCGAGAAGCCTCGAAGCAGAGCGATGGAAATTAATTTCCAAATCTATGTAGATCTCAACCATCGCACTGGCCTTTGGGAATCGCCAAGGTGAAGCTCCACTCCTGCCGCTCCAAGCTTCTTCTATTGCAAATATTTGCAAATGCCAAAGGAAAAAGAGGCTGGAAGTTTGGTAGCAAAGGTGGTAGCTGCGTGAAACTCGTTGCCTTGTTGTGTCACCTGAGGCGACGGAGCAGCAAACAACTGTATTTGGACATGATCTGGGTCCGTGGAATCTACTTGACCTCAAAACGAGCCAGCGCTAATCCACACCTCTGTGAGCATGCCGCTCCACAACTGCTGGACTGCCCTCAGACTCAGACAGTCAGGCACTATTACAGTGACATATAGTGACATGCAGTGACTCGTGGTGTGTCGGCATGGCGTAAACTATCATAGGATATGATACAAGTACAACCATACATCAATGCCATGTCAGGCTCCTATTCTATCAAGATTAGAGTGGTTGTACAATGTGTGTCCTTACATGTACTTGTTTTGACAAATAAAATGTCACATGAATTCTTATAAGTAGTTATATCATGTTATATAAATATATATAATATATAGATATATATAATCTGAATTAAACTGATTGAACTCGAGAGTACAAAGTTGAGTATGCTTGAGGAATTGGCACTCTCTGCTGGCAACTGGAAGGTCACCCGGCGCACCTCAGACTTGCACGACTTGCACAGGTTTGGGGTCGTGTGAATTCAGCCGGATTGGCCAATCTGACTATGCTATACTATGCTTGACTTTTCAATTTTGTGGTCTTGCATGGTCTACTTGCTTACATTAAGATCTTCGATCGCAAGAATCTGCAACACTTCCTGTGTCCCACTTTCAAGAGAGTTGTTGGTGGAACCAAAATCAATATTGGCACGAGTGGAGGCAAGAATAAATGTGGACGGTCACGGTTGGTACCTTTTCAAGCCTTTTCAGACCTTTTCTAACATGTTCATTTTCTTGCTCGCGATTTCAATCTGCTCTGGTCCTTGTGAAAGTGTTTGAGCACCATGCCTGGTCCGGACGGCTTACCACGCTGTCCTGTTGCAGCCAATGACTGGTCTGATACTTTGATGATTGCGAGGGAGTTCTGCAGTTGTTGTGTGAGTATGATAGCCAAGCTTGAAAATCAAACATCGACGTTTCAAGGACCAAGTCCCAAAGTAATGAAAGAATTTGAGGATGACGCCTCTCGCTCTTGTGAAGTTTCTGTGGGTACGAGTACCTTCAATAGAGGCTCATAGTTGCTGAGGGTAACAATACGTTCCAACCTTTCCAACGTACAAATCACAGTAGCCAGGGACGCTGAACCCTTGGTCTCAAAGGGCCAGAAATAAATCAGAACTTGGCATCGAACCTCTGGTTCTTGATCCTGAAAGTGACCGCTTGTGATGCAACTATTGATTCAATTGATTCAACCAAGCAGCTTTGCGAATGTCTGCGGGTGTCTTGAGCTTTGGGTTGCAAACAAGAGTCTGCGATTCCAACAAACGAAGCTAGATGAAATTCATTCAAAGATCAACGGCCAAAAAGCAACGAGAAAAACCATCAAAAAAAAGATCTGACAAGAAAGCATAGATAAGTGTAGGATCTCTCCTGAGGCGCTGCTTCAATGTCACGAGTTGCAGCCTGGCAGGCAACACGGCAACAAAGGCAGCTGAAGTTTCATCAATGTGTTCGAAAATGTTCGAAGTAAATACAACACAAAGATCACAAAGGCACCTGGGACTCCATTTTTGGATACACGATGATACAAGAATCAATGACGCCAAGTCTCTTGAGCCCTGCACCTAAACAGAAAGATGTTGAGAGGAATTCATGATCAGGACAGAAGATACAGAAGTTGATAGCGTGCATTTGCAACCCCCGAAGCATCTGCTTGTCTCAACATACTGAAAATGCCAAGGAATGAAAGACCGTCTCCAACATTGAAATATGTTGAATTACCCCGTTTGAAAAGCCGCTTTTAAGTATGGACCAGGGGGTACACAACTTTGGAAGTTCTGAATGGGGCCATCTTCGTGTATTTTCGGCCACAACTGCTTGGAATATCTTGGAATTAGACACAAGGCCACCAACCTCTATTTGGACTCACCGCCATGCTAGTCTTGCAGACCGTTCACTTTAGTGAGGCCGCTACGCATTAACATATTTGGGGCAAGTATAGGCGAACAAACTTTGTGCTGGCCCCCTTGGCAACATCCAAACAAGCAAAGACCTGCACACAAAGATTTCTTCTTGTCATTTGTTTATCAGTACTATTGCTATTGCTATTCGATTCATGGGTACAATAAGGAGGCAAAAGTCTAGTGGAGTATGAGTCTGAACGCATAACAGTTTCCATCTTCTGCTATTGTTTGCAAGATTGCTGTAGAGGCGGCTATAACTTAATGTGGATATATCTGGATTCATGGACTTTGCTTGTGAAACACTTCTAGGCACTTGCTGGCACCGCTCACGGCAGCAGATCTCTGTCAGCTGCCCTGCAAATAATATCCAGCTTCAATACACTTGGTATGTAGAAATACAGTATGTAAAACTGCAGAACCTTTAAGTTTCACTCCTAACAATACACAGGCACAAGACTAGGCCGCCTCTGCGTTGGGGTCATGCAAAAACCATGGCTTCGTCTCTTCAATGAACTGGAAAATGCTGTTGGCAATCTGCGGGCGCCAACATGGCCGAATGCATCAGCTCCACCAAGCATTCAGAGCAAAGAAACATAAAGAAATAGGAACATTCAGAGCATTCGTATGCATTTGTGCTGTGCCATTCCACTTGTATAATCTGCCATGTTGGCGTGACTACCTTTGACTGCAGCATAAGGGCAGCATGGGTTGTGCCTCCAGTTTATCCGGATTCTTGTCTGGATGCCAGCGTAGCTGTAAGAACCTGCACTGCAATAACGGACTTAAAGCAAACGCCTTCACAGCAAAGTCTAGATCAAATGTATTCATACCATTTTCGGTATCATACCAGCAGTGGTTACTCGTTACATTGGTTCAGATTCAAATGATCTCTACATCAAAAATGATTCTATCTTCTTTTACTCCACCCTGACACTTTCAAAGTGGCAGCACGGCGGTCATGGAAGAGCCTACGATTTGCTGTGCCTCAGAGCCTTTTTCCTTTTTGCCACTTCCATGCCCTGCCAGCTGCCATGGAAACTTTTTGATTTCACCATGTCACCATGTGAAGTAGTTCAAAACAACACAGGACTCAATCGAATCTAGGAAAAACATGGAAAAACAAGAACAGAAAGACTCTAGACCTGCAAAAGTCTGCAAAAGGTTCAAATTCCCAACAGCACATCTTTTGCGCATTGCGCAGCCTCGTTGACCATGGACTCCATCTCCTGCAAACCAATGAACAAGCGAGTTTCACAACTGAAATTGGTTCGTCACTGGTGATTCTTTGATGCTTATTTGAAACACACGGAGAGCGGGCTGGAATTTTGTCAAGGAAATTTACTGTACTACAACAAGAGTAGCATGAACAACTAATACAGCAGCAAAACGAAGAACAAAATGAAACACACTAAAATAGGAACGATAACAAGACTAGGACGCAAAATGTAACTGAACAAAGCATAAACGGAAAAAAACATAAACTCAGCAAAAAAAAATCAAAAACAATCGACCAACCAACTTGAGAGCAGGCGGAGGCGGACGAAAGGTAGTGTAGTGGGAGAGGAGTGGTGTCAAAATGCTGCGCCTCTAAGATGATACACCAAAAACGTTTTTGCGCAGTCTAAGATGATTTTATCCAGAGCATGACTGCATGATACGGTGTCTTGTGCAGCGTGAAATGATGCACGAAAAGGGGTTTATTTAAAACCCCTTTTTAAGACCCCTTGCAGCAACTGTTATTGAGGCTGAAGCATACCAATTATGCTGGACTACGGGGACATCTCCCTCATGCAAAGTGTGCCTCTAATGTGGGGGCCCGTGACCGCGTCACCCGTGGGAATTGAACCCATGACCATTTTCGGGGGGGGGGGCCCCCCTCCCCCCCTATAATTGATATCCAATACATAACGGCGAGAATTCCATGAATTCCGTGGGCTGGCCCCCCAATACCCCCTAAGCTTGTGCTGAAGCACGGAGAACTCAGGTAGCTGACGCTACCTTTCGTGACAAATCGCAACCCACACCAACACAACGTCAACCACACCATCAGCAAGACCGGCAGCACCGCTGGGATCTCGCAAAACTGCTCTTGTGACGCAAATAACACAGTGGGCCTTGAGAACAGAGCTTTTGATCTGATATAGTGCATGGTCTTCAAATTTGGCATCAAGCTTTGGTGGAGCCTCGGCTTTTCTGGCACTACATTTTGCAGCGCGGAAACTCATGATCGAACCAGGTTAAACCATTCACTTGTCATGTCTTGAAGTGCTTTGCTTGAAGCCTCCCCGCAGGCTGAAAGCTAGGGATGTGACAGGTCCTTTTGGAGGCACGTAGGTCTGAACAATCGAGTCACAAGTGGTGGTACTGAAGCGATTGAGAAGGTATATCATCTATGTCACCGAAGGAAGTTTAGAAGTCAAACTTATGACAATATGGACAGGTGGAAAAGCAGAGGTGGGAAGAGTGAGAGAGGAGAAGAGAAGAAGAGAGCAGATCAGAGAAGAAAGAAGATGCAGGTGCGCGAAAAGGTAGGAAAGTCGCGGCGATTCACTGTGTTTTTCCATTGGTTTGTGGCTCCGGAGGGTCGAAAAGTAAGCTTGCTAAAGCGGCAAATGCAGAGCCATCTGGCCAGATGAGAGATGAAAAATTGCACGCCGTTGTAGCGCGAAGCACATTTCCAAGTCAAAATGTACAAAACACACCATTCTCGGGCCACTGTTGAAGGTAGATGTCGTTTCGCGTGGCAGG